CGATTCTACTAGTGATATCCTCGAAAAATTCAGCAGATTTGTCAAGCATGATTTCTCTTTTGTAAATCTATGCTGATAATCAGCTCCAAATTGTCAAGTTAGACTCTTTGAAGTGATACAGTGTATTCTAATATAAGATAACAAGGTGTAGAGCTGGATGAACACAGTAGGCCAAGCAGCATCAGAGGAGCAGGAAGGCTGACATTTTGGGCCTCGACCCTTCTAATGCTTGTTTTTAGACAGCAATAAAGGAAACTATAAACGTAGTCAATAAGTTTTTTTTAATGAAAGAGGGAATTTTAGTTTGGAACAATGAATTCTTCAATAGATACTGAATAACACTCATTTATTTCAGCTCAGCAGTAGGTCCTGAGCTCTGCCCAAAGTGGACACTGGGCCAGTTGGTACAATAGATATAAGGGTTTCAAAGTGATTGGAGAGACATAGATTGTCATTAGGTTTGTGAGGACCTTTAGAGTGGGTAGAGGGTCATAGGTTGACATGGAGGGTATGTGAGGTGTGTAGAGTGCACGAGGTGGTGGTGTGATGGGCAAGGAATGTTTTTGTTTTATTGCTTCAACTGACCATCCACTTTGCTGCTCTGGATTTCGGATCTGTTGTCTGTCATTCCTGGAAAATCAGCCCGAGGCAGGAAATGTCAGGGACACATTTCAACATTTCACTGACTTTGTTACTCTTCTTTCTATTCCTCTCGCCAATCCCCCACTCCCCCACTCCCCCACCAGCACCCCAATTGTCTTATGCTGCGACAACTTAGAGGAATAATGTGACAAATGTTTGCAAAACTGCAGCTGATTCTATCCATGCATCATGGGGTTATAGCGATCTTGGGCATGTGCCAAGAGTTTTAAATTGCAGTCAGTTGTGTACTTTGCTACAGTAAGAGCATGTTAGCAAGGTGAAAGTGAGTTGGAAGTTGTATTAGGATTTGCATGCAGCTAGCAGGAACAACTGGTCAGCAGACAACGAATCTCAAAGTATGCATGCTGCACAATAGGCTGAACCTTATTGGTGGGGTGGGACTACTTAACACAGGATCTTCCTTACATATCTCTAATGGTTCCCAGATTCTGTAGGATGTGGGTACGATGCTGTTTTCAGTCATCATATTCCATCAGGCATATTGCACAACTGTGCTCCAGGAATACTGCCCTGGAATATCACACAGAATAAACCTTCTAACGACCACCTCTCCATTCCAACAACCAAACAAAACTTTACTCCACTCTTGCCTCATTTTGCCAACCACTTTCTTTGGCTCATACAGACACTGAAATAACTGAATATTAATAAGTTCCCTTCTGTGGTTGTTCAGCCTCAAGGGAGCTACATCCATTGAATGGAAGCTGGAATTTAAAAATGAAATGTGGGCTGACTTATGACCCAGGGCTAGAAAAGTGCTTGAACATCTACTCAAAAAGCCAGGACATACAGGTCGATGGATCTGGAGCAGGAAGGTGAGATCAGATTGGTTGATCTTGACTGAGTGACACAGGCACAATAAGCTGACTGGCCTCCTTCTGCCTTGTAAATTTTCTAAGACTTCCATGAATTAAAACAGTTTGACACTAACTCTTCTGTCAAATTATTTTAAGTCTTTTGAAATTATGTGAATTAGTTTGCCCGTTCAATGGGGGAATCCTTAAATTATAAAATCAATGCCTCTAACAGGCGCATTTTCAGACTAAAGCAAGTCTTTGATTACACAAACACTAAGTTTCTATATCACTGAATACGGAAGATGACAGGTTGATCTATTTGAGTTGTTTAAGATGATGAAAGGATTTGATAGGATGGAGAAGGAGCAACCCTTTCCTCTGGTGCAAGAGTCTAGAACTGTGAAAATTAACCTTAATGGAGCTAGATGATAGTGAGAAAGCAGAAAGCACTTCGCCACACAGAGAGTAGAAATTTGGAACACTCTCTTTCCTAAAACTGAAATGCTCAATTAATTTGGTCTCAACATTTTCCCAAAAAGCTGTTCAGGCAAAACAAAATTTCAAAATGGAAATGAATGGATTTTGTTTTGTAAGTCAGAGATATCAATGGTTGTAGAAGCAAGGTAGGTAAATAGAGATGAGTTAAAGAAATGTAGAGTTGTGGAATTAATATCAGAAGCACACATAAGGGTAACAGTGAATGTCAGAATCACATGATTAACTAGAGAGAGGTGGAAGGAAGCAGAAGCTCTATCCTAGTGTAAAGGGAATAGATTGTGCAGTAAATAAAAGAGTTCTAGCAGAAAATGTTTCATGGATTCCAGTTGCATTACTTTGGAAGACTAAACAGAATTAGACACCAAACAATGCACATCAGTCTGGATCCAGTTCAGGAAGAACAGGTTTAACGCAAACACACAGAATGCTGGAGAAACGTAACAGGTCTGCCAGCATCTGTGGAAAGAGAAACAGAGAGTCACCTGTTACAGAGTTAACTCTGTTTCTTTCTCAACAGAAGCTGCTAGACCTGCTACATTTCTCCAGCACTCTGTATACGGTCCAGATTACCACTATCCACAATTATTTTGCTTTCATATGAACAGGTGCTGAATGGCTCTGAATAGTGTGACGGCATAAGGAATAAAACACAATCCACTTATCTGTTCACTCCGACGAAATGTGAGGAAGCCAATACCCACCCAAATTATAGTTTAGGCTCAGCATTGTCAGCATGCTTGGGAAAATCATGTGAAGTTTTTAAATGGTAAAAAAAAAATGAAAACTCAGTTTATTTGGGAAAAGGTCCTTGAGCATATGTTGCACCTGACAGCAAATTACAAACTTTACAGATGGCACATTCAATAAATACAATGCCGTCTGTTTTGTTTCACACAATAAAGAATACAATTCTTAAACCAAAAACAACAATAGTGTGCATCTCTACGCAGAACTGAGCAGCCTGATAAAAAAATATTGGAGTAATCAGCCAGATGGAAAAAGGGGTCCAGTCCAGTCCAAAGATGTGCAGGGTAGGCGGATTGGCCATGCTAAATTGCCCATAGTGTCCAGGAATGTGCACGCTACGTGGGTTAGCCATGGTAAATGTGGGGTTACTGGAAAAGGGCAGGGGGGGGAATGGGTTGAGGTGGGATGCTCTTTGGAGGGTGGGAGAGAACCGAATGGGCTGAATGGCCTCTTTCCACACTGTAGGGATTCTATGATTCTAGATGGGCAGTAGAGGATCATCTTTGTTAGCTGTCCCTCAATTCCAGAAGGGCATTTCCTGGTTTGCATGTTCCTGCTGTGGGTTTGATGTGACTAAATAGGTCAATTTTTGAACTGTATATTTAGCTGTATAGAACATTCCACAATGTGGTAGGCTCCAAGTGTAAGATTTACTTCAGTTTCTTTCCTTTTCCACTGCTGCTCTGCCTCATCGTTAAGATGTCACAACTCAGACTGCAATGCAGATTGGATGGGATTTTCCTGCGCTGAATGACTGCTCCTCACAGCCATTCATGCCAATAGTTGCTGCCACATCAAGGAGAGCTTCTTTGCAACATTTTTTTTTCTTTGCCCCAGAACATTGCCTACATGAGAGTCAAGGAAACAGGACCTGGTGGGGGGAGATTCTTTTCAGCTATCTGGACTCGGTGTCCAGTCCATCGAAGTTGATTTTTGTAGGAGGTTGCCTGAATGCTTCAGGAAGGACACATTTGTTCGACTGTCTTCCAATCACACCTAGAGAATGCAGTGCAGTCATTGCTGATGGAATTTCTCTACACTCACGTGTTGCTGACACAGCATCCAGGCCTCACAACAGTGTAGGAGTGTGATAATAACCTACTTCAGAGGTTCAGGGAGGAGACTGATCATCACCTTCTCCAGGGCAACAAACGTTGACCCAGCCATTGATGCTCACATCCCATAAAGTTTGGAAACCTAAGCAATATACCATTCTAAAGCATTATGTGCCGTCAGCCACGATACAAATGCTTGTTTTAATGGGACACAAAATAATGCACATGATTGTGCGTTCCCCAATTTTATGACTATTGATCTTTATATTGAAAAGTCTTATGACCTAATGTAAAATGTGGAGGGATGAAATATATGTGTCCAATTCGACCTGTAACACTATCTAAAATTCTTACCTGCTTCATTTCCACAAACGTCAGTGGGTAAACAGACTCGACTGGGCCAGAGAATGACAGCAAGTTAACCAATTCTGTAACACTCTGCAACTGTAAAATACTCCCAGTCATTGATCTTACACAATCTAAAGTTATCTTTAGAAACACGATTCTTATTAAGATTCCAACAGTAGTAAAACAGAAACAAAATACAAAGTGGCAATTATGAAGAAAGATTTGACAAGGAAATTTTAGGGCAACTAGGGACGGGCAATAAATGCTAGCTAGCCAGTGATGCCCACATCCCAAAAATACGTGAAAAAAATTAGCAAAAGGCCAGTTTATTCAATTTTTACACTAAGTGGCAAATCTTCACAGAGGTATCAACTGAACAATTTGAGGACAATTTCGCCACTTTATAAGAAAACCTGGGCAAAAACAAAATTGGGGTGATAGCGTTTGTGCCAACACCATTCAACTGCCTTTGGCCCTGAAGAATATTCCAGAAACAGCCTCATTAGCATGACCTCAGGGGCTCCCAGCTGAACTCCTCTTTACCCCAAGGCAGGGCAACGCTCAGGTCAAGCTGGTACTGAATTCAGCCAAAAGGAAGAGGGTCACGTTCTGACAAAATTTCCAAGTTCATCACATTGCAGGATTGCAATTGTTTGCCCCACAATGACGAGGATCCTTCTTAGCCAGGGGTCCCCACACCTCTCACCTCTTTTCCCCAAAATTCCTTAAAATAAATATTCTTGACCAACATTATCATCTCTTCCAACACTCCTTACATGAAAGTGTCAAATTTTCTCTGATAATGCCTCTGTGAAAAGCCTTGGGATATTTAATTATATTTCAGGCTCTATGTACATTAAACCATTCATGTCATCTTTAGAAACTTAAATGTCACCATAGCCACACTGGCTAGCATTCTTTTGTGCCAACAAAGCTTATAACAGTAAATGATGGAATATGCCAGTCTATTTACAAGATTGGGGTAATGTTCATTTTGGGAAGGAAATGGATAATACCACATTGGTTTCATTTGGAATGGAAATTGGGCAGAATGTAAAATGGTTCACAATTCATTATCGCTGTGACTCCATGACTGCTCTGAACCCATCTCACACGCATTGTGATACAACAGCAACTTACATTTGTATGATTTTGTAACATCATAAACCATTTTGAGGCACCTCTCAGGAGAGATGGTAAAGACAAGTTTGACACTGAGTGACAAGATTCGATGATATCAGGGGAGATGACCAAAAATTTGGTTGAAGAGGTGTGTTTTAATGAGCTGATACAGCTGCCAAAGATGGCTTAAGTGAAATTGGGAAAGCTCGAGATGCCAGACTTCAAGGAGTGCTAACTTCTTGATCATTGAGCTGAAGAAGATTACAGAGATAGGGAGGAAGCAAGAGCATGAAGGATTTGCTGCAATGAAGGAACCATTGCACTGAACTGCATGCAGCAAGTTCCCACCTACGACAATGAGATCATCACCAGATCACCTGTTAGTGATGACTTGTTGAGAGATTAACGTGTACCAGGAAACTCAGGGGAACTCCTTCTTCACACACTATTGGATCCTTTATACCTAGCTAAGATGGCAATTAGTGTCTTATAAAAGAAACAGCAGCTCCAACAGTGCAGCACTGCCTTGAACCCACACCTTTCTGGCTGAAAGCTCGCGCTCTATCTTCGACCAATGGCGGGAATCTATCGCTAATTTAGTCACCAAATGATAAAGATTTATTTCAAAGAAACACAACACCATAAACCTTATACAACCCAAGTGTAACCTATTCTTACCTTTTTAACTTGTATTAACCCATACGCATATTTGGGGGTGGCAGGAAGTACAGGACCAGCAGGTAATGTTTTGTGCTGATGAAGGAAAGAAAAGAGAAAAACCATTGAGATTTTTATCTCTTTAATAAATCAAAAATATTCCACGTTTGATTACTATCACAGTTGGCCCATTGCCGTTGAGAAATAACTGTGCAGATCACCTTCCTGCAGCAACGTACACTGCAGTACTGCAAGAACAATGCAAACTTTACCAGCCCACGAATCAGCCTGCTGCCCCCTGCAAACACCAGCACCTCCAAACTTTCCAAAAAGTCAGACTCAAACTGGGATCCATGTTATCATTCTTTCACTGTCACCGGCTCAAAGTCCTGAGATTCTCTCCCCTGCTATCACAGTGGTTGTCTCTACACCACATGGATTACGAGGATTCAAGGCAGCAGCTCATGACAAGGACGTGGACGATTCAAGATGGGCAATAAAAGCCGGCCTTGCTCCTGATGCTCAGCCCATTTACAAATCTAAAGTAAGGTTGAGTACATACGCAAGCAAGCAATTAGTCTAAAATCAATGACAAAAGTAGTATATATGAAAGAGAAACAAACTTAATATTTCAGGAACATCTTCATTGTTTGCTGTGGAAGACTATTGGGACAAGTTTTCTTATTCATTGAATAATGCTAAATATCCACAGGTCTTCAGAATGGTTTGTCCGTTCAAATAAGGAAAAGATCCTGAGGAAAGGTTCCTCTAAATGTTTATGTTTTCCTCCCTGCAACTCTCACCAGCAGATCTTACTTTGTTAACTGCTTCACCAGGACAACATCCTGCTTCTTTCTCTATTAAAATCCAATATGGGAAGGGAAGCTCCTGAGTATTATTCCCCAGTGGATAGAAGGATGCTCCAGGCAGTATGTGCAAGACTAACTTTGTTCATTGAGTGGGAATTCTTGACACATATTCCTCGTTCTGGTAACCTACATTAAATAGGACCAGAGGATGTAGGAACAGAGGTAAATCATTTGGCCCATCATTGTTCCACCATTCAGCAGGATCTGACCACTGCCAATTCCATTTTCCTGCCTTACCCCATAACACTTGATTCCCTTACTGATTGAAATTTTGTCTTAGTATAGAACAGACTTAATGACCAGCCTTGGCAGAGCTCTGTGGCTAAGAATACAGTGAACAGATTTCCAGTTACAGCAGATAATTCTATTTGTTACTGAAACCAGAGATTATTACCAAAGTTGGCTGATAGCCTCCAACTGACGAAATGTCATATTACAAAAAGACTGCAGGAGAATGCAGACAAGCATGTAGGATGGGTAGATGGTGTTCAATGTAAAAGCATGTCAATTAAAAGCAAAGAAAAACACCTTAAATCATAACATTTTCAACAAAGAACAGAGGAAGTGCAAATTATAGATACTTGAGTTTTCAAAGGGTGTCAGTAAAAGTACATTGCGTTATCACAAAATTATTATGGTGCAGAGCCAGACCATTCAGCCCATCGTGCCTGTACCAACACATGGAATTCAGGGAAATCGGGATTAGTGTGCCTTTAGTGGGAGTTATGTCAGTGCAGACTCGATTGGCCAAAGAGCCTTTTCTGCACTGCACAAATCCATGACTCTATGACTGATAATCTAGCCCAGCTCTATGATCTAGTGCCAATTTTATGGCTTGTCCCAATATCCCTAAATACTTTTACAGTCCAAAAAACATACATCCATAGTTTTTTTGAATGCTTCAATTAAGCTTGCCTTGCCACATTTCCATACCCTAACTTCACTTTATGAAGAATTTTTTTTTCCTCGCATCAACCTTGCTTCATTTGCACATCATTTTAAATCCAACCCCTTTTGTCCTTGTTTCTTTTACAAGCAGGAACACCTACTCCTAAACTACTCTGTCCAGCCCACTCGTGATTTTAAAAACCTTAATCAGATCTCCTCTCAAACTTCTCTCCAAGAACTTCTTCAATCTATCCTCAAAGCTGGAGAGATTATTGCAATTCTGGATCTGATATCTAGTGTGGAACTTGTACAATATCTCAGGCTGCAATTGGACTGTGTGCAGTTCCAGCATCTTACTGCCAGGAGGATATGAATTTAATGGAAAAAGTGCAGGTTCAACTGGGGGTCAGAAGGCCACACTGTGTCAGAGACATCCACTCACTATGGTTTTCCATTGGGAGATCAACTAATGGCCAGAGGGTAGGCTCTCAAACCTGGAAGGTCAATTTGACGCATTAAAGCAGCAGCAGGAAACCATGCAGGTAAGTGAGAGAAAAATGGAGCATCCTTTCTCCAAATCCTTTAGAAGTTTAAATATTGAAAAATGTTTTTTTTTGCAGCCAAACCAGTGTGGGTGGGGGTTGGTGAGGGTGGGTAGGGCTCAGGTTGCTGAGGCGGTGGGTGCTTGGAAGCTTGCAGCTGTTGTTGCTTCCATGTAAGGAAGGACGGCCTCTTAGCTCAAGTGGCTGTTAAGGTCAGACCCAGAATGTTTCGGTCTGTGCGAATGAGTGCATATCTGATGAAAGGCCCCCCCAAAATGCTAACTGTTTCTCTTTCCAGCACTCGACCTGCTGAGTACTTCCAGCATTTCCTGCTTGTATTTGAGGGGTTTGGAATTATGAAGGTAGACCTAAGAAATTAAGGATGGTTTATTGGAGCTCAGGTGAGGTTTAAGAGTATGAAGGAGCATTGTCAAAAGACCGAGGGCAAGCGAAGAAGTCATTTTGTAATAAATCCCAAGCAGTTTTCATGGAGGTCATAAACAACTTGGTCAAGGTTAAACAATACATTGCTTATGTTTAAATCTAACCTTTCTCACGTGGTTTATGCACACTCAGAGACAGATGAATCTGCTGTATACACACAGCAGATACATTCCATGTTTCCTTTGCCCTAGCACCAGTTTTTTACATAAGCAGACAATGAAAAAATATTTAGAGAGCTTGGTACGGGTTGGTGAGCTTGTGACAAAGTGAAGCATTCAAAAAGGCACTAAAATTGAGAAACATAATTTAAATTTAGAAGATGAGAAAATAAAAGATCTATAAAGTTGAGCTCATTGACAATAACATGACCTTCTACAGCATAGCACCACTGTGTGTTGCCTGAGAGTATGTTCATGTAACCTTTAATAAACATGTCTTGACTCTTGTGTTGACAGCTTTCATTTGTGATATGTGGATAGAGATTGCAGCCTTGGTATATCCTTGAAACTATTTAAAGGTAAAGTAAGGCATGTTGTTTCTGTTTGTTGTTGACAAGCACTCAACAGAACAATCTAAACTGAGGGGCAGAGGGTGATTTGAATCTTGTTCTGCAAAATATTATTGAAACTGATGCCATATTTCTCAAGTGTAATCCAGTGTTTTTCTTAAGAAAGAGGGACATTTAAGGATGTGAAAAGCAACCAGAGGTTGGACTTAGATTGGGTGGCTCTTACTTTAAGCATTGAGACAGATTTAACAGGTGAAATAGCTGTTTCTGCGCTGGAATATTCCAGGATTTTATTTGAGCAGTTGACTTCCTTGATGTAATACTGGATTATATTTGCTATTTCTGTTTTGTTTGAACCCTTACCTTTCCAATAACTTGCCGGACACTGAAGTATTTGTCAGTCGGGTCTCCTGCTTCTGACAGAGGGGCATCATAGTCATAACTCGTTGGCTGTGGCCAATAGGGAGAGTTTGCTCCTACATCAATTGAAGAAAAAGTGTATTTAATGGCAAATGCACAACACCATTTTCTCTTTCATAAATACTACAGGCAGCATGGGAGACTTGTGCAAATCAGTGGATTTAATGCAAGAACACTATAACATGTGAGTGGATCAGTAAATGGGACCTTTACTATCTGGAATTTAAACAAGTGAAAGGTAAACTCTTTAAAAACACAAGATTCTGAGGGTTTGACAGAATTGACACAGAGGTCGCTTCCCTTGGCTGGAGAACCTGGATCACAGACTCAGGAGAAGGGCCAATCATTTGGGACTGAAAGGAGGTGAAACTTCTTCATTCAAAAGGGATTTGAATCTGCATAATTCTCTATCCAAGAGGGTTCTGAAATATATTTAAGTCTGAGACAGTCAGACTTTTGGTCTGTCAAGGAGTCGAAGGAGACGGGGAGGAATGTGACGAGGCACCGGCTGCCAATTTCCATGTTTGACAGCAGCTTCTGCAAAGGGAAGCTATGCTTGGGCAATGCCGATTGGCAGGTGCCCAGCTTGCCAGCAGCTGAAAGGGAATGTTAATGGGGAGGGAGCAGACATGCAGAGAATGAAGCCCAAGATCAGCCATGAATGTATTAACTTGAATGGTAGGGAAGGTCCTTGGAGTGCCCTTAATTCTTGTATAAAGCAAGCAGCAAATCCTGGTTACAGGCAGCCAATAAAGTATCTTTTGAAATGCAGTCACTGCTGTAATGTAGGAAGTGTGGCAGCCAATTTGTACACAGCAAGCTCCCACAAACTGTAACGTGATAATGGCAAGATATTCTGTTCGTGTGATGCTGGTTACAACATAGAGATTTGTCAGAGCTCTAAGGATTCCTCTACTCGAAATAGCGCCATAGGAAAGTGTCCTTTTACATTTGCAGCAGCAGGGGCACACTTTCTCATCCACATGATGGCACCTCTGACGGTGCAGAACAACTTCAAGGCTGCATTGGAGTTTCAGTCTTGACCTTTGAGATCAATTGCTGGAGTGGGGCTTGAACCTGGAATCTTGTGATTCAAGAAGCTACGCAACTGAGCCATGGCTGACAGTAAACGACCTGATAATTTAGCAACAACAGAGGAGGTGAGAGAAGTAGTGGTGAGGTAGAGCTGGGTGTTGTCAGTGTACATGTGAAAACTGACATTATGGTTTCAGATGATGTCGTCACGGGAGAGCATGCAGATGAGAAACAGGAGCCAGCCGAGGACAGATTCTGAAGGGACAACCCAGGTAATCATGCAGGAGCAGAAGAGAAGCCATTGCAAGTAGCCCTCTAGCTGCAATTAATCTGATGCCCTTGTGCAGTTTATAAGTTATTATCACAAGTAGATTAATTGTTAACTGCATTCTAATACTAGTAAATAGTGACTGGTAAAGTGGACATTACTGTTCACAGCTCAATGATTAGTACTAACACAATTAAATTTTTTAAACAGACTGGATATTCCAGCAATGTTAAAGTTACTGATAGACTCTTACCATTCCAGTAGCCAAAGTTCGTTCCTCCTTCGAACATGTACCTGACGATATCCAAACAATATTTAGATTTCAACAGAGAATTGCAAATTTAGTTTTGGAACATGAGAAATTCATTAAAAATACGTACATATTGACATTGGCTCCAAGAGCAAGGATTTCATCCAGTGATTTAGCAACGATCTCCTTTTTGATCACAGAGTGTTTCTTGCCCCAGTGATCCAACCATCCTGTGTAAAACTCAGAATTTACCTAACATAAAAAAAGCACTTAATTCATTTACTCAGACATTTAATTCATACTATTTAACCTGAAAATACATCTGACATTTGCATTACATTCCAAATTACATTCAATCAGTTGTATAGTCTTTCAGTACTTACATTGTAAAAGGGCATGTGAGAATTTGAGCCGCCTCATCACACTCTTCCCATCATCTTCTCCCTTTCAAATATTCATCCCATTATCTGGTACTCAGGTACTACCTGAGCTTTTTCTGATGTGACTCTATTTTAATATCTCAGACCTTGCGTGACCCCAGAGTGAGAATGAGGGGTGGGGTTGAGGATGAAGTATTAGAGAGTTGCTGACTGCACTGGCAGGGGGCAGACAGAGAGTCATTAAGCGGAGAAATGAGGTCAGAGAAATCTTGCTTTTGGCAGGCAGAGGTGGAGAGCGGTTTACCCACAAGGTGGACACCCACCTATTTACAGACAGCGCAACAATCAGGTTTCTGAAGAGAGGTGATTAAGCTGCGCCCACCAAATGAAAAAGGAATTTAAAGGGTCACCATGCCTCAGGTGAGGGAGAGGTTGAGAAGGAGAGTCCTTCATTGTAACCTCAGCTGGTGCGGGAATTGAACCCACACTTGGTTGGTATGCTTTGCAATGTGGCCATCCAACTGAGCTAACTGACACCCCTTTTCTAGACTGTTTGTATAAATTGTAAAGGATTGAGGCCCCAGAACCTGTGTCTCACCATTCGTGACATCCTGTCAGATGACAAAGACCACTTATTCCTACTCTCTGCTTCCTGTTAGCAAGCCAAGCTTCTATCCAAGCCAATATGCTTCTTCTCAAGGTGCAGTTTGGAATTCATCAGTATTCAGGTACTTACAATTCTCTGCACCAACTATCCCACTTAGGAGGAAAACTTCAATGTATTGGGCCAAAATATCTTTCTTCAGTGAGAAACTTGAGTAAATGTTAATTTTCCATTTACAATATTTCATGCTTTTCCGCACTTGAAACAGTATAATTTCTATCCAATAAGCAGTGTACAACATGCTGATTGGATCCTAGCCATGTAGTGAATCAGAAACTATGAGAGCTTATCCTTAATAGCAACGTTATTCTCTTATATACAGTCTTACAGCTGTATTGCCTCCAGGGTCCTCGCTGTCCCATCTTCAGTCTGAAGAAGACATATTGAACTCAAAAAGTTAACTCTGTTTCTCTCTTCATAGATGCTGCCTGACCTGCTGAATTCTTGTTTTTAATATAATTTTAATCAATCTGTTCAGAGATGTTGTTAAATACCGCTGGAACAGGTGGGATTTGAACCTAGGTTTAGAGTTAGGGATTATTACCACTGCACCACAGGAGCCCCATTACTGCCTCATTTTAATATGCTCAGGAGAACTAATCAATCAATACCATTGCCTGTTTATCTCACACTTAAACAATGTGATTGACACAGTATTAATCTACAAAATGATAGTACAATGAATTAATAAATCCACCAAGTTGCATGCTATCTCATTCCAAATATCCAGCTACTCTTGCAGTAACATCAAGTTGGCTGAAAGGATGTCAGTTGCTAGGTGCTTACCATTGGCCCATGAGGCTCTGCATATCTTTGAGCTTCAAATAATTTTGAAATATTTCCACCTGCCAATAGAAAATAACATTACACAAAGTAAGACATAAAAATACTTGACATCCAATTACTCCATGTGGCTCAATGCTTCAAAATTAAAAGCATAATCCCCAATGTTTATAACAGGCATGTTCCTGTATGTGCACTGATTTTACTCAAGGCAGAGTTTGATTTTTGATCATCAAGTGAGTCAATGATGGGGCAGACAGGAAAGAAGGTTTGAGATCAAACCAAATCAGCCACAATTTTATTAAACAGCAAAGGAGATGCAACATTCCAGACTGCTCCCAAGTCCCAAGTGTTCCCACTAAATGCAATGTCAGGTGTAAAGTGGTCCCTCAACTTTTTGGATCAGGATGATTAAACCCACAAGGTGCTGTTAGCACACTCAAGCAGTGCTGGGCCCCTCACACTGCTTTATATTTATGTCTTGATCAATTTTAATCTGTCCTTGCCTGCTGCTTTTCGGCTGTTTGAAGATCAGTGATGGGGAAATCAGTTATGTGAAGGTAGGTTTTCTAGATTGATACCTGGACTGAGGGGTTGTCTTATGGGGGTGACTGGATCGAAGTGTATAAGATCCTGGATGGTCTTGACAAGCTGCACATGGAAAGGAACTTTCCTCTTGCGAATAAGCGCAGAACTAGGGAGCTCTGTTTAAAATTTGGGTTTGCCCCTTTAGAATTAAGATTAGGAATATTTTTTCTCTCTCAGAAGGCTGCACCATTTTGGAATTCTGCCTAAGAAGATGGTGGACCTGCTGAGTTTCTCCAGCACTTTATGTTACCTTAAATTTTAGATTTCCAACATCAGCATTATTTTGCTTTTATTATTCCTTGCTTTCTTTGGTGAGAAGTGCAGAGTGAAAAATTTCCTTACCTTTTAACAATCAAAGGCTTTCAATTCTTCCAAATAACTAAATGTTAGCATACCTGGACCAAAATCCACTGTAGCATACAGCCCTTGTAGTGAGCCACACTTGAGGTAACCTTTGCCTGCTCCATCTGTTGTAAACAGAACTACTTCATCTCCCAGATGGTACCGAAAGAGCTTCAGGAGGTATCGTAGGTAGTCGTAGTCACAAGCAAAGTAGCTACCATATTCATTCTCCACCTGAAACAGCATAAGAATTCTTACCCCTTGCTAATTATGCGTCATATTAATTAAAAAACTGCCCAATTGCAAAACATCTCCTGATAGCTGAACAAGATGTGCATTTATATGATGACTTTCACAGCCAGCAGGGATCTCGAAGTGCTTTACAACCAATCCAATGAAGCACTTTTGAAGACATCACACAAGAAATGTTGTGGCCAATTTGCACACAGCAGTCTCCCACAAACGATAATGGGATAATGACCAGATCATTTATTTTTGTGATACTGATGGAGGAATCAATATTGGTCAGGCTTCCACAGATAACTCACCTGCTCTTCTTCAGAACGGTGGGCTGGGATATTTTACATCCAGCAGAGACTGGTGGGAGGACAATTTATAGCCTCACATGAAACTTAGCACCTCAGCACTCCCTCGGTACTGCACTGGAGACTTGCTCTTGGGTTTTGACCTCTGGTCCTGGAGCAGGCCTGGAACCTTCTGACTCAAAGGCAAGAATACCATCACTGACTCACTGCCAACACTCGCTAGCTGAAATGCTAAATCTATTTCTTTCTCTACAGATACTGTATGACTAGAGTATTTCCAGCATTCTGTCAGCATTCTTAATGCAGTTGATAGCTACCTGTTGCTTAAAAACAAATACAAGAGAGATTAAAAGAAATGCATAACGGTTCAAAGAAACCCCACAGGTTCTATACTCCTAGGTTAAATGCTATAGTGATCCGGGGTATCATCACATGGGGGGGGCATTGGAGATGTTCAGCCATAATCCCACAGATGGTCGTTCTGGTTACTCAGCCAGACACATGAAATAAAAATGTTCAAACTATGAGAAAATATCCAATAAACAGGTGCAAAAGCATCAAAACAATCTTCAACCCAAGCAATCAGCAAAATAAGCTAATTCCAGAAGCCTGTTTTAGGCTGTCCTATTGCTTTTCTTTCTTCACATTGAGTACATACTGGTAAAAAGAATATGTGCTAGAACACATGGGCTGAATCATAATCCTTCTGCATTGTCATAATTCTGTGCACGCATGTTTTGGTCACATTTCAATCGTCGCCTTCTGCTACTTGACATGTGTTTCTCATTTGTAAAGCACTGTGGAACACCCTTCAAGCACTGAATTCTTGTCTTTCTTTCCTCATTACACAGTATCTAAAACTTCAAGATAAGCTTCTGCTAAGTCAATGTTTCTCAAATTTGAAGCACACTCAACATGCAACCTGGTCAGAATATTACAAAGCTTCTGTTTCATGACCTCTAACTCAATTAAGCTGGCAACGTAATTTTGGTTGCTCTGTAACAATGGCATAAGGTTGGTGTTGAATCTTCCAGCTTTATTTTGTCCATCCGGCCTTACAATCTGCTGAGTGTGCCCTAGTTTACTGGAGTAACACTTCGCAATCACTGGGGTGGAAGTTAATCTCCAGAGCTCTGTCTACTTATGAAAGTTTGTCTCTGCTCTTCTGTTGTCCACTCACACTGGCTCGGAGGAAGATGTTGTTTATATAACCCTCATCACTTATTTTCAAATCTCACTATGACCGCTCCTTCCCCAGCCTTGTAATCTCTTTCAGCCCGACAACTCTCCAAGAACTGTGTGCTTCTTCAATTCTTGCTTTTCACACATCCTTACTTTTATTTACTTTACGACTGGTGGCTGTGTCTTTTGCTCTCTGGGCTTCAAGTTCTGGAAATCCCACCCCCTCCACTGCCGCCTCCGCCCACCCCCACGCAGCCTTCACTGTTTCTCTATTCAGCTGTTCACCTTAAAGATGCTCTTCAAGGTTCATTTCCTTCACCTGTTCCTACGTCACACTTGGCTCAGTGTTAAATGCTGTGGGACAATGCTCCCGTGAAGAACCTTGGGTTGTTTTACAGCGCTAAAGGTGCTACACAAATGCAAGATGTTGTTGTTGCACATCTCCCTGGATTACACCCTAACAACCACCCAATCAAGAAGATTAATCATTGACTAATTATATGGATCAGTTTGTTCATCCATTTTAACATAAACACTTTTTACCTGTACAGCAATAATTGGTCCGTTGTTCTGATACAAAAACGGTTTGATCTTGGGTAGCAGAACATCCATCCACTTATGAACAAACCGGAGATAATCTAGGACAATAGCAAAACTATCAGGCACTGTAAAGAACGGTCCTTATTTCTGTTTAGTTGCATGATTTGGTATTGGACAGAGAAAAAAAGATCACTTCAAATTTGCTGGTCCCTAATTTTAGTAAGGTGCACTTTTTGTTATTATTCATTCTCAAAATGAGGGCATTACTGTTGGGGCCACCGTTTATTGCCCCTCTGTAGATGCCCAAGGAGGAGTTAGTGGGCCTCCTGCAGTCCATTCTTCAGAGATTGTCCCAAAATACTGTTCGGTAGGGAACTCCAGGATTTTTACCCAGTAAACGATCGAATGATAAAGGAGTAGGGTTGGGTGCAGGCATCAGAAGGGTGTGTCACTGGGAGGGTAACCTGAAAGTGGTTGTGCTCTCACAAAACTGCTGCCCCGGTATTTGGTCAGGAGGACGAGGTCATGGTTTTGGGAAGTGCTGTCAAAGAAACGTCAGTGAGTTACTGCCGCAATGCTGGCATTAAACTGTGCATGAGCATGAGCACGAGCACACAACACCCTGGAAGGTACCGCACAGACAATGTTCTGCATTTTTTTTTGTTTGCTTGCACAGTATTTAAGATACAAAGCTTTGAAAAAAACTGGTTGCGCACATCAGCAAAGGTTTACAAAGAAGAATGACTGCAGCCACATACTGGGAGGGCGAGGATCCTTGAGTTGGTGGATAGGCTGGCAATTAATTGGGCTGCTTTCACCCTCATGGTATGGAGTTTGAACGCTGTTGCAACTGCATCCAAGAAGGCAGCTGGACAGTACTCCATCATACTCCTTTGATTGGTGCCTTTTAGACAGTGGTGAGGATGCAAGTTCCTCGCTGCAAGACTGCTCTGGTAGCTGCAGCATTTCTGGAGCTGGTTGAGTTGAGTTCCTGGTCAGTGGCCACTCTGCAGATTTGGCTATACTGAATCCTGAATGTTGAATGTCGAGAAGTGGGATTTGGACTGTCTTTTATTGGAGTTAGCTATTGGCTGACACTTATGTGGCTTAGATGTAACTTGCCTCAAGCCAAGTATGGCTGTATTCCAGATCCTTCTGCACGGGAACATGGGATGCTTTATAATTTGAGAAATTCAGAGTGGCAATGAAGCACCATGTGGAAAAAGTGTACACTGCGCAAACAGCGTTCACCAGTGACCAGCCCAGCTTCTGAACTTGTAATGATGGTCATTGATAAAACAGAGGAATCAACTAGCGAGAATGAGTATTGCTAAAAAGAGTGTAATGTAAGTGGGGTGAAGATTTTAAAATAAGACTGAGCTAAGTGTGAGAATTCACTGGAAGTCATGAGTAATTGTTTGGTTGGGTGTTCACATATGAGTGACAGCTCCATTCACACTATACTTCACAAATATCAAGTCTGCTATAAACACTCTCTTAGGTAAATACGCAGGTTTCGTTCTCTTATGCTCAGATGTTCTCCAGCAACTACTTAACATCTGGGCCACAGCTGTATAACATGTAGCTCCAAAGCCATTCAATTGGATACTCTAGCTTTCCCTACACACTGACATATGATGTGTGGGTCTTCATTCACTAGTTGACTGTCAGAGAGGTGGGTTTTTGCTTGTCAAAGCATCAACTAAGATTGGCCACTTGTCTGCCTACACACTCACTCACTATCCCTCACCTTCCTTCAAATTAATTTCATGCTAAGCTCAGCATGGAGAGACAGACCAACCTCATGAAGCATGATTGCTCATGAGGGCTTGTAGAGAAAAAGCAACAATTGATGTATTGCTTCAGTGGTACTGGCTTTAGCATGCGGCTGAGTGACTCAACGTATGGTTTAAGGTTTAGTACACTGGTTTTAATATTTGCAAAAGCAACACTTCAACATGAAATTGGATCTAAGTCCTTCTTCATGGCAAACTGATCAAAATGTTCGGAGAAAGCCATAATCTGAAACATTGCTCAAAGCTCTTTCTTCATTGTGTTAAACAAAAATAATCACTGTTCTCATTTGCTAATTACTTTCCCTACTGCAAATTATTAGGTTGAAAATTCAGAGTTTTCATTTTATCAAAGCAAAACCAAATCTATGATTTGCATCTTACCTGGATCTGAAGATCGAAGGACAACTGACTTCTTCTGTAGCAGCCAGGCAGGAAGACCACCCTTTGAGAAAAAAAATTAAAACATTCGAGCTTCACAAACCATTTGTTTTATAAATTTGAATTATAATTTCTCACTTGAATTTTATTGCACTCACCATGTCCCATTCTGCACAAATAAAGGGCCCAGCTCGTAAGATGACCAGCAACCCAATATCATTGCATATCTTTAAAAAGGATTCCAAATCTCTATTTCCAGTGAAGTCATATTTGCCAGGTATGGTCTCATGATAATTCCATGGTACATACCTATATAATTTAAGTAGGATTTGGTTTATTGCACAACTGATGCAGGTTAATGACAGAGAATATTAGAATACCAACTGCACATATGACCTTCCTCATTCTTTAAACCTTCCTTTGGTCTTTATGTAGTAACACAACAATTAACAAACTGAGTGTTAACTGAGTCACAAGCACCAGAGTTTAAAGCAGCATAGCAACCTGGACAAGAGATGCTGTTGATGCTCCATAGCTCTAATCCCACATTACTCCTCGTTCCATAATGGTACCTTGTTCCTTTTCCATGGAGTTAGCAGTCTCGAGAACAATTGCAAGTACTCAAAGAAATGCATGTTATTACAAGATGTCTAGGTACATAAAGCAGAGCTTTAAAATAGAAAAACAAAACTTGGATGAATACAGCACTTTTCACAAACACTACACATCACACATCACTTTATAGCCAAAGAAGAACTTACTTTTGGGAAGTGTAGCTACTGTTGTAATGTAGGAAGTGTGCTGACTAATTTGCACCCAGTAACAACTGAGCCACAGTTGTCACACGAAGTGCTTTACGTTTCAACCTTTATGCTTCAACCTTTATGCTTGAATGATATTTAAAGAACTAGCATGTTAACTGCAAATGATAGCTGGACATTCCTTTTCCTTAACCCTACCCAAACAATCAATTAATGTTAAGTGGTTGAGAAAATGTCAGCTGGCAGTAGGGGCTTTGGCTTTGCAATTTGGGGAGGTTAAGAAAAGGGACCATCTGAACATTTCTCTCTCAGGCCTGCTGCAGTGCTCTAGAGAGGCTCAATACAAGCTGGAGGAACACCACCTCATCTTGCATGTAGGCACCTTATCTGTTTATTTGACTGTAATGTTTATCTTTTTAACTTTATATATTATTTTTCTAACTTATACTATGAATCACTGTGGGGTGACTTTTTATTCTTTATTTCTCTATTTTTGTATCTAAGACTTGTACCTAGGTACTTTATACCTAAGGTGGCACCATAAGGGGGCTGGTTGACATTGTAAACTTTTCACTGTGCTCCTGCACTTCTGTGTTTGAGTACACGTGAAAATAAGCCTAATACTACTTACAGTTCTCAGGCCTCAACACCGAGTTTAACAATTTCACACCAGTTGCATGATTTTTTTGATCTCTCAGCCTATAAATTCTGGGTCTATGTGCAATGCTCTGTCACTGCACCTGACAAAGGAGCAGTGCTCCGAAAGCTTGTGTGATTTCAAATAAACCTGTTAGACAATAACCTGGTGTCATGTGACTTCTGACTTTGCCCAACCCAGTCCAACACCGGCACCTCCACATCATGACTACCATCGAGAGATAGTAGGAACTGCCGATGCTGGAGTCTGAGATAACAAGGTGTAGAGCTGGATGAACACAGCAGGCCGGGCAGCATCAGAGAAGGAGGAAAGCTGACGTTTCGGGTCTGGACCTTCTTCAGAAACGGGGGCGGGGAAGGGGGCTCTGAAATAAATAGAGAGAGGGGGAGGCAGATAGAAGCTAAATAGTGGAGCAGATAGGTGGAGAGAAGATGGACAGGTCAAGGAGGCGGGGATGAAGCTAGTAAAGGTGAGTGTAGGTAGGAAGTTGGGATGAGCGTTGGTCAGGGAGGAGGGAGGATACGATGCTCAACTCATCGATTGCTAGTTCTGACGTGCCACAGCGAGAAACTGCAACAACCTCCTCAGAAGATGGACATAAGATACAACCGATATAGTATCTTTCATCATCCACTACTTTTCCAAAGTGCAGAAACTACACCATGTTCTTAACAACCTTCAACATGTCATCGATGATAATGAGCATCTCGCCAAGATCTTCCCCACGCCTCCACTTCCCGCTTTCAAACAACCACCAAACCTTAAACAGACCATTGTTCACAGCAAACTACCCAGCCTTCAGGATAACATCGACCACAAAACTGTATAACCCTGCCATGGCAACCTCTGCAGGACATGTCAGACCATCAACATGACCACTACCATCACACGTGGGAACACCACCCACCACATACATGGCAGATACTGATGTGACTCGACCAACATTGTCTATCTCATACACTTCAGGCAAGGATGGCCCCGAGGCATGGTTTATTGGCGAAACCATGCAGATGCTATGACAACGGATGAATGGACACTGCGCAATGATTGCCAGACAGGAATGTTCCCTCCCAGTCAGGGAACACTTCAGTGGTCAAGGGCATTCAGCCTCCGATATTCGGGTAAGTGTCCTTCAAGGTGGACTTCGAGGTACACAACAACGCAGAATCGCCAAGCAAAAGGTGATACCAAGTTCCGTACCTATGAAGACAGCCTCACCCATGATCTTGGGTTCACGTCACGCTACAGGTGACTTCACCATACTGTTCTGTATCTGTAAAATCTTCCTTACTGTCCTGTTTTGATAGCATTAGCTTGATAAATTGTAATGATCTCTCCACCTTAATTAGTTTGTACAGTTTTGATTTCAACATGCGATTCCAGTCATTTAATTTGTCTCTAGCATCAGTATATTTTTAATTTTTTGTAATTATCTCTCTGCCTCACTTAATCAGATTATAGGTCATCCCTCCGCTGGTTATTCAGCTGTTGACACTTTACTCACCATTTAACACTCCTGGTCACCTGCAGAGACTTATCATCTGGCACTCCACTCACACCAGTTGTGTGATCTTTCTGCCTATAAACTCTGGGTCTGTGTGCTCTGCTCTCTCTCACTGCACCTGACGAAGGAGCTGTGCTGTGAAAGCTTGTGTGATTTCAAATAAACCTGTTAAACTATAACCCAGCATCTGACCTGACATTCAATTCATCCACTGAATGTAGCTTTCTTCACAGTCCTAGCTGTGTTTATTTCCCATTGATTGGTTAGGGAGATAGTCTGTTGATTGCTATAGGCTGTTATCAGTATGCAGTTCTAGAGACTTCGTCATCTTAAGCTGAAGGAGAGGGAGGTCTGACAGCTTCAGATGTCTTGAGAGAGTGAACTTTGGCCCTATTACGTTTGATATTTTAGTACATTAATTATATATTCTCCAAAAATACAGCATCAGCTTGTACAAGGCAGGTTCCACAGGAAGGAATAAGGTAAATGAACTGTTAACCTGTGATGACTATCTTGACTAAGGAATAAGCACTAGCCAAGAACCCTGTAAACTTGAGTTCATCCAAGACTCTGCTTCCTGTTTCCTTACTTGTATTCACTTATCATCCCTATGGTGCACCAACTTACACCGGCTCCAGGTCCAGCAGTGTCGTAATTTCAAATTTCACATCCTCATTTTCAAATCCTTTCCGGCTGCCCCAATGTCTAATCTGCTCAGGCCCCATGCCTCCAAATTATCAGGGGTCTCTCTGACTATGGTTTCTTGCGCACTCCTGATTTTAATTTTTCCACCACTGTTGGCTTTGTTTTCAGCCTCATTAGTCCCAAGCTTTAGAACTCCCTTCCCAAACCTTTCCATCTCTCTAACTTCATTTAAAATGTTTTTTTAAAGCGTTAGCTCTTTGACCAAGCCCTTGATCATCTGCTTGAGTATTGCCTTTAATTTTAAATTTTGTTTCAAAATGCTTGTGTAAAGTGTTTCAAATTAAAAGTACTAAATAAATATAAGTTGTTTTGAGTTTTTGAACAGTGGCAAGATATCTTATATCCACACGGGTGGCCTCATTCTCACCTGAAAGATCAAAAGCTACTTTCAACATAGTAATAGATCCCAAGACACCTCACAGGACCACACCTATGACAACCAGTCACAAATCCTGGAGGCAGACAATGTCCAAAAAAAAAGAGAATGGTAAAAGTAATTCTAAAACAAAAATAGAAATTGCTGGAAAATCTCATCAGGTCTAGCAGCATCTGTACAGAGAAAGTAGAGTTAACGTTTCTGGTCCAATAACCCTTTTTCAGAACTGGTGTTAGGTGGGACAAGAATCATTTTTATACAGAAGATGGGGTGGGGGGAGTGAGTAAACGATAGGTGGAAATGGAGCCCAAAGAGAGAGAAAATCAGTTGGACAGATAAAGGAGATGTTAAAGGTTAGTATGGGGGTATGATTTGCTACTAATGGGGACTTTTAGTGGCTGACAATGGGTAGTATGTGGAGAGGCCTGTCAATATTAAGTCCAGACGGCTGCTCATAATATGGTCTCCTCTACACCGAGGATACAAAGTGCTGACCGGGTGACTACTTCACAGAACACCTACATTCCATCCGCAAAAAAGACCCTGAGCTTCCAAGATAACAAGGTGTAGAGCTAGATGAACACAGCAGGCCAAGCAGCATCAGAGGAGCAGGAAGGCTGACATTTCAGGCCTAGACCCTTCTTCTCCAGCATCTGCAGTTCCTACTATCCCTGAGCTTCCATTTCGCTGCCACTTCAGCACACCACTATGTTCTGTGGTCAACATCTCTGTCTCAGGCTTACTGTAGTGCTCCAGTGAAGCCCAGCACAATCTGGAAGAACACATCTCGTTTTCTGCTTGGGAACCCTGCGGCCTTCTGGATCAATATCGAGTTCAACAGTTTTAGGGCTTGAGCATTTTCCCCCCACCCCGACACACCAGGCCTACTGATTCCAACATTCGCATTTCTTTCAGTGTTTTTGTCAAATGTAATTCTATGTTGTCACACTCACGTTTGAATTGCATTCAGTCCCGCCATATACATTTTCAGAAGACGGTCCTTCCAGTAGTAACGAGGTACACGAGAGTAGTGTATGCTCCCCGAAATGTAACGAAACTTTTTGCCATCCTTTCGGAAACAGTCATTGTCGTAATCAATTTGAAATGATCCAGATAAACTCTGAAAAAAATAACAGAAATCAGCAAGTATCACACTGTCAGAAATAAAAATTGCTGGAAAAGCTCAGCAGATCTGGCAGCATTTGTGGAGAGAAGTTTCCTTCTGAGGAAGGGTCACTTGACCCAAAATGTTAGCGCTGATTTCTCTCCTTAGATGATGCTAGATATGCTGAGCTTTTCCAGCAATTTCTATCTTTGCCTCTGATTTACAGCAATGGCGGATCTTTCAGTTTTTATCACATTGTCAGACTCTCATTTATAGAAAGCATTTGATAAATCATGTTGAGGATACAGAGCGTAGAACTGTAATTTACCTCATGGAAAGGTCAGCATGTGATGTGACGTGGGCTTCCTTGCACTGGTGGCACAGGAGCAAGTGTAACGCAGAGACTCAGGATTTCTTGCCCTGTACCAGTTAAGTACTGGGGACAAAACAATCTTGTAGCATTCCATTGAGGAAACCTCAGTATTGTAATTTTATCCGGGAATTTTTCTTCACCTTTCCAGAAAATTGCATGGTGACTGACTGGTGAACAGTTCTGGGGCTGTGTCGTTTAGTTACGAATAACTGAATGGGACAGACTCAACAAACCAGCTAAAAATATGTAATTGTGATATCCTTTTATCCCATTATATCTTAAGTTATAGACACTTAAAGTAGAAAATATTATCCCATGGATTATAATTGCATATTTTGTTTGTAAAGTCACCACAATTCAGTACCAAGCTTCTCCATCGTTCAGCAAGATCATGAACGAACTCTAAGTATTCAAGGCTTCATTCAATATACCTCTATCTTTGGATAACTGAAATCGATCGATTTAAGATCTAAAATTAACAATTGATCTCGCATCACTTGATATTTGCAGAGAGAGTTCCAAATTTCCAATGTGTTTTGTGTGTAGAAATGATCCCTAATTTTATGCCAAGAAGATCTGTCTCTAATTTGTAAAGACTCTGCCCTCCAGACTCCTCAAGCCTCGGAAAATTATTTCTCTCCAACTGCTGCCCCCAATTCCTTCAATCAAATCACATCTGCAACTTCTGGATTCCAAAGTATGTAGCCTTTGTTAACAAAATCTCTCCTTGTAACTTAGCCATTGGAATGCAGGCATCATTCTGGTCGGTCAATGCTGCACTCTCTCTGGGGCCAATACGTGTGGCATGATGAAGGGTCTTCATAAAGCTGAAATAAATAGGTGTCTCCAATTCACCTTTAAAAACAGACATTGCCAGAAATGGTGATTGCTTCCAATACAAGGGCAAAGCTGTGAAGGCAGCTGTGTATCCTTGTAATGCAATGCAGTAGAAATTACTGAAGTCAGTGCACTTCTGTTCTAGGGTAAAATGTCTTGCACTGGGGTACAAATTAAGCATCTTTGGGAGGAAAAGATTCTTGTCCAAACATAGCTTCTGCACTTGTAGGTAACTTTCCAGAACCTAGAGATACTGCCTCGTCCATTGTTGCCGGCACTTTCTGCTTTTCTTTTGGATCGTGAAGGACCATACTGTATGTTGAATACAGAGAAACAAACAGACAGAGACTGAGGTACCAAAAGCAAAATACC